GCGCGTCGCTGCTTTTGTTGCTGCTGTTGCCGTTGTTGGTTGTTGGTGGGTTGTTGTTGGTTGTTGGTTGTTTTTTGTTCTTGTTGTTGTTGGTGTTGGTGTTGGCGGTCCATGGAAGACACATCAAGGAGTGTCTCAGTGGAGTAGATGTCGAAGGAGCATGCTAGGACGATGACCACTGCGGCAGCGCAGTAAGTCTTGCCACAGCCGAAGACGCCTTGCACGGCCAAAAATTCGTCCGTTTTAACATGGTCCCGGTATCTGCGGAAGCTTCATTGCGCTGCAAAATCCGACTAGTAACTGCCAGCGGTCATTCACTCACTATGGTCCTTGTTCGCGATCCAGCTGGCCATGATGCGTTTGCACAACGCCACAACTAGGCAACGTGTCTTGCTCAAGGCTTGTGCGACACACACAAGCTTCACCGATTCAGCCTTCTTCAACCTGTGCGCAGTGCTGAGCGGGTGCTCTTGAGCGGGTGCGCCGACGATTTGGCAGGCATACGCGCAGTGCTGAGCGGGTGCTCTTGAGCGGGGGCGCTTACCATTTGGCAGGCATGTGCGGCTTACCATTTGCAGGCACGTGCGCAGCGCTGGCGGGTGCTCTTGGGCGGGTGTGCTTACCATTTGGCAGGCACATGCACAGTGCTGAGCGGGTGTGTTTCTGTTTAAGGTGTGCTTCACATTTGGCAGGCATGCATGCAGTGCTGAGCGGGTGCTCTTGAGCAGGCGCTCTTGCCATGTGGCAGGCCGGAATAAGCCGCCCAACTCGCGGCTCGGGTGAGAAGAGCGGCAGGGAGTCACAAGACCTGCGGAGTAGTCGGGGGCCAGGACGGCCCGCGCCCGGACCAGGCAAACCGGAACTCTATCTCAAGATGACAAGTAAATCTGCGGAGTCGTGACATGCCTGGGCGTTGCGCGTAGCACTATACATATATACATATGTGTATCTATATATATATATATACAGATACATACATGTTATATATGGTCCCGTGTTCCGTGTTGCTACCGCCCCCACCCCCCATATGGTATGGGTCCTCCAGGACCCCCCCCCCCTCGGCTCGAGACCCCGAGCCCCCGGATCTACGGTCCCACCCCACCCCGACCCCCTGAACTCGCGTGTCGGGGCACCCCCACCCCCCAGGACAAGCCAACCCGCAACCAACCATAAACCAACCCTAAACTAACCCTAAACGAACCCTAAATACCCCCTAAACCAAACCCTAAACCGTAGACCTCTAAACCTCAACCAACCCTAAATCAATATAAACCAACCGTAAACTAACCCTAAACCAACCCTAAACTAACCCCAAATGCACCCTAAACCAATCCCTAAACAATAGACCCTAAACCTAAGCCAACCCTAAACCAACCCTAAACCAACCCTAAACCAACCCTAAACTAACCCTAAACCAACCCTAAATACACCCTAAACCAAACCCTAAACCGTACACCTCTAAACCTAAACCAACCCTAAACCAACCCTAAATCAACATAAACCAACCCTAAAACAAACCCTAAACTAACCCTAAATACACCCTAAATATACCCTAAACCAATTCTAAACCAACCGCAAACCACCACAACCCAACCACAGGACCACAACCACAGGGGGGGTGGGTACTTGTCTGACCCATGACCATTGGATAAACATATATATATATATATACATATTGTATATATGTGTACATAACTATGGGGTTGTCTTACAATGGTGGACCCTGCAAAACTAAGTGTCCCGTTTCCCTTCCTACCGGCGCCGACTCCCCCAGGGCGACACGGCCCAGGCGCCAGGGGGTCCGCCCCAAAGGACCGCACGGTGCGGATGTTCCTCAGCGCCTCCGTGGACACGGCGTTGGCGTCCGCCATGGAGACGCGGATCCGCATGTTCACCTGCCTGGCGCCGCTTTTTTGGGTGGCTAGGTGCTCCAGTAGAGCCTCTCTGAAAAGAATAAAAAACCAGAAGAGGACTGCAAGAAGAGGTCCTCCAGTGGAGGTTAGGGACGCTTTTTTGGGTGGGGTGCTCCGGTAGTTACCAAATCACCCCAAGTAGATCCAAGAAGGTTGAACATCCAGCTAGGTCACCAATCTTACTTATAACCATGGGACGGTATAGCCTTACAAACATCCAAGTCTAGGTCCTGCAGTGGAGAGGTTAGAATAAGTTGGTACCAACTTGTTTCTGTAGTTTTTAGTAGGGGAACCCTCCCAAAAAAGGGTAAAAGGGCACTACTGGAAAACCTGGGTGGGATGTCTCAGTGGGACCCCGAAACACCAGAACGTGCGTGGGATGGTGAGCATGCCTCAAGCACAAGTTAACTCCGCACCCCATGCTGCAAAGCCTGCCTGGGGTGCCCGGACCCGTGTTTTGGACCCATGAAACCCCTGGCAAGGCGGTGAGAGCGAGGATAGAAATGGATTGGATAGACCTTGAAAGGGGCTCTCCGGGATGTCCTCGATTCTTCACACAGTTGATGGACGACATCCTGCAGTCATGGGGTTCGATCCATCCCAAATGACTGGTGCAGGATGAATGGATGGAGCCCGATTTTGTTGGAGAAACCCATTGTGCCAATTGGACAATCCGCTATCCATTGACTGGGAAACCTATTGTCCAATGCAGGCAGTCGTCCAGTAGGTGTCCCTCAAAAACCTGGAGCCCAATCTGAATTGGTCCAATGTCTCCAAAGAACTGGCAGGCTTGTCGGAGAGGGCTTAAGCAAAATAGGGCTCCAAAGCTATTTCCCCTACAAAAGCATCACTTTCAAAGGGAAAGTTTGTTCAAAGGTCCAAAAAGGTGATGTTGAGACCATCCAAAAGGGACGCGTCCCCAACCCCCCCCCCCCCCTCATGGTCTTAGGAACAGGCTGTGTAGGGTTGGTTCGGGGTGCTGGTTTAGAGTTGCATTCAGCTTGGACGTGGGTTTAGGGTTCCTTCGGCTCAAGTTAGGACTGATTCAGGGATGGTTTGGGGTTGATTGAGGGTTAGTGGTTTCGGGATGTTTGGGGGCAGAAGGTTCGGGGCGGCGCGGGGCGCGGTCCCGCGAGGACCCCTCCTTCCCTGAGAGTATTTTGGGGTACAACGTCTTGAAGGAATACTGGAATACCCATGAACTTAGGCATTGATGTCCAAAGTTGCCCAGAACTCATGCTCGTGTGTCTTTTTGGTTAGTCCCCCATTTGTGTTGGTTTTAAAGAGCAAAGGAAAACTGCAATTATTTTTTTTGGGGGGGGGGTCCCCTAAACAAAACACACCCGTGTAAGCAATGGCGAACCCACCTCTCCCTCCCCCCAGCATTTCTTGAACCCCCCCCCCTCAACCAGCCCCCATTTAAGCCTTAACGCCCCAAGAAAATCTCTCCCCACCGCCAAAAAAAAAACGCCCACCCCAAAATTGCCAGCAAAAGCCCAACTCCCCAACTTCCGCACTCCGTCTCTTCCCCACTCCCCACTCCAACCCCCACAACCAAACGCTTAACCCCCCCCCCTCACCCCCCCCCCCCCCGCCTATATTTCCTGAACCCCCCTGAAAGCCCCAAGACAATCCAAAATCCCCAACTTCCTAACTCCTTCCCCACCCCAGCCCCACCACCAAACGCTCAACCCTCCGGCCCAAAAATCCAACACTCCCCGGACCAAAACCCCCCAGACCAAAACCCCAGGCGCTTGGACCACTTGGCGTAGACCCCGGTGAGGTACACCACGGGCCCAATCATCGTGGCGGCCAGCACCGTGAGCTTCCAGGAGGTGAACAAACACCTCGCCGGAAATCGCTCGACCAACCGCTCAGCCCCGATCGATTTTTGGGCGGGTTGGAACGGGCTCCCAGGTGACTTGAAAATCACCCCACCCTCAAAAAACGAGGAGCCACCCACTCGGGTGTGACAAGTGGGTTTGGAAGGAAACAAATGACAACTGTTTTGGGAATCCCAAAGGTCGGGGGGGTGGTCCAAGGGTCCAATGGGGGCTCAACAAGCCAGACAAATGATTGTTTAGGGAATCTCGCTTGCTCACCAAAACTTTGGGCGGGTTGGAATGGAGTACTCGTGACATTGGAAGGTAGCCCGTTCACGAAAATCACCCCAAAAAAGGTCGGGGTCCCCTCAAAAAAAGGACGAATCTGTAAGGAGTAGGGTCCGAGGGCGGGCGGGGGGGATGACTGTTTAAGGAATCCCCAAGCAAGGAGGGGTGGTCCAAGGGTCCAACGGGTGTGGCTCAGAATGAAACAGCTGGGGCAAATCGCAGATTTTAGTCTTTGGTTCCATCTGCCAAGGTGCAATTTGTGCAAAAAAACAATGACCCAGTGACAACTGTTGAGGGAATCCCTAAGGCGGGGGGTCCCAATAAGGCTCCCTAACCCAAGGGAACCTGAAAGGGGCTCTCGACTACCCGTCCCCCTTGTACTGGGGTTTCAGAACTGCTGTATGAATCGGAAAGACACTAGTCAAGCTACCCTGATAAAATGGACAACCTCCTTACTGTACGATGCCCGTGGTTTAAGGATCGAAGGAAAACGAAATGGGCAACAAATCAAAAAGACTAAAGTGGGCTTAGATACCAAAAATCCTGTGGCTTAAAAATATCAAAGGTTGACAAACTGCAGTCCATTCATTTTGACCCGTACCCTCCCTTCCACCAACATGGCACCTCTGGGAGGGTACCTGGAAGATTGGTTTCCTCTTCAACGGACCCCATGTCTGGTGCCATGTTAGTTGGAGGGCGGGGGTACCCAGCTTCAACAAAAACCGTGGGCTGAAGACCGGCCATGGCACATGAAGAGCCCGCCGCAGAGCCGCAGTATGTTGGTCAGCAGCGTGTTCCTCGTTCTCGAGCGAGCGGAAAAATTGGACCAGCGGCGAGGTTGGGGGCTCATTGGCACCCTACGGGAACCCCGGATTCAGAAACCTCTGGTCTCCAAAAGTGAGGAACCCCCCGCGGCCCTGAGGTTGGGGCTAATCGGCTCATCATGGGCCGAACCCCGGATTCAGAAACCTCTCGTTGACTAGTCGGGGTTCCCTCCAAAAGTGATGAAACACCCCGGCCCCCAGCAAAAGGGGACACCCTCTCTCTTCAACAGAAGGCCACATTCGTCCGGACGTGACCTACCACGCCTCTCAGAACCTCAGGAATTCCTTGAGGTTCCAAGACTCTCTTCTGAGATTCTGGGTTAGGGGCGGGGGGGGGGTGGGGGAGGGGCAACGTCCGAACAGGCACTCCAAGAAGGTACTCCAAAACCAAATCCCAGGTCCGGTCCTTCCTACCAAAGTCACCCCCCAAGCGGTACCTGGAGTCTTAAAAACAAATGGGGTCATTGCCCAAAATGAAGCAATCATGACAGGGGTCATGGCGACCCCAGGTAGCTTTAAAGAAAAACCTCCTCCCAATCTGGGTATGAATTTAAATAAGGGGCCCTTTGGTGGACATCATTTGGGGATTCATGTCCACCAATCACTTTTGAGGTGGTTCCCGATCATAAAATTCATGGCCACCGCAGCCCCAGGCACATGATCTGCCGCACCGGCTGCACCACCGCGGCCACGTCATTGGTCATGCGGGAGGTGAGCTGGCCTCGTCTCAGAAGCCACAAAGGGGAGCATGGGGTATAAAACCACAAAGTAACCTCTGTGTAAAGGGAAACATCTTGATTTCCCTCACCAATGTTGACCCCCAATGAATTTCAAGCAACCAGTTTATTTTTTGGGGGGCGTGGGGGCCCCTCAAAAGTGGTCTGATTCCCCACCAAAAAAACAGGGGTTGATCAACCAACCAGTTTATTCATCCAAAAGTGGCCGGATTTCCCCCACGCAAACCAGAAAAAACACCCCCCTGTGTCATAAACAGGGGTTGATTAATATGACGTCAACATTACCCCAAACCAAAGCTACCCCCAAGAAAAACTTGTAACCACTAGATAACCTCTATGTAAAGGCACGACCTTGATTTCCCTCAAGAGTAGTGGTTTGGGGGTGGACGCCATCTCAGAGAGGTTTGGCCATGTCCAACTCTGTGGTCAAGTCTTGATGTTGACCCAGAATTAAACCCCTGTCCCTTGTTCAGAGGGAATGTGGCTCACTTGTGGAGTTGTGCTTGATTCATCCACCTTGATAAATCCAGGGCTGACAGCAATGTGATTCTTGCGCTGAAGATCTGGCCATAAACCTCATATCTCATGGACATGTTCATCTAGATCTATGCGACCTTAGGCGGTCTAACTCCGGGCCTCCATCCGCATCAGATTGTATGTTCAAGGCTTTTGGCGCTTGTTTTTGTTTCACCTGCCTGGACTCCTGGACACGGACAAAATGCGCTGAAGGTTCCCACACAATGGGGATTTCTCGCGGCGTCCGGTCCTGGTTTGGGTCGTGAGGGCTTTTTGAGATCTTTGCAGGACGCACGCGAGTGGGAAGTTGGGAGAAGTCACCCACCAATGTTTCTCGAAATCCAGGTACTTGGCGTTTGTGGCTTTCCTAAGCCACCCAAAGCTTCATGAGGGTCGCAGATAGCCGAAGCCAACCAAGATGGTGGCCGCTTGACAAACTCGGCACCACAAATCAACAGGTCAAGCCGCAATGGGCGTGGCTCAAAGATAGGGGCACGGAATGGATCCCTAAATGGCCACATGGACTAAACCTGCGGTTTTTCTGGTGAATCAATTTTGACCCACAGCCAAATGGGTCACCTTGTGTCAGTAACTGCCCGAGACGAACAAAACAATGCAAGAGAGAGAGAGAGAGAGAGAGAGCGGAAGAGAGAGGAGAGAGAGGAGAGAAAGGAGAGAGAGGAGAGAGAGGAGAGAGAGAGAGAGAGAGAGAGAGAGAGAGAAAAGAGAGAGAAAAGAGAGAGAAAAGAGAGAGAAAAGAGAGAGAAAAGAGAGAGAAAAGAGAGAGAAAAGAGAGAGAAAAGAGAGAGAAAAGAGAGAGAGAGAGAGAGAAAAGAGAGAGAGAGAAACAAAAAAGGAAGAGACAGAGAGAGAGAGAGAGAGAGACAGAGAGAGAGAGAGAGAGAGAGAGAGAGCGAGAGGAGGGAGAGAGAGCGAGAGAGAAAGGGAGACAAAGAAAGGAAGAGAGAGAGAGAGAGAGAAGAAAAAAAAGGGGAGAGAGAGAGAGAAAGGGAGAGAGAGGGAGAGAAGGGAAGAGAGAGAGAGAGAGAGAGAGAGAGACAGAGAGAGAGAGAGAGAAAAAAGAATAGAGAGAGAGAGAGAAAGGAAGAGAGAGAGAGAGAGAAAGCAAAAAAAGGAGAAGAGAGAGAGAGAGAGAGAGAGAGAGAGGAGAGAGAGAGAGAGAGAGAAACAAAAAAGGAAGAGAGCGAGAGAGAGCGGCTCCGATCTTGTTACTACACGAATTGGACTTGGAGCACCTGAAAACCGACGGCTCAAAGCGGACTTTTTGGTGAGCAGTGAGCCCAGTGGTTTTGAGGTTCCTTCGGGGTGTGTCCCATTTACCCACAAGAACCGGGCATTCACCAATCCAATCCAACTAATTGAGGGTCACCAATTCGAAAGCTTGGCCGTCACCTGAAAGCTTGAGAAACTCCGCCAAACAGAAAAGCTTCGCTTCCGCCATTTCACTTGGCTCAGCTGGGTTTCAAATCCAAAATCTCAATGATCACATTTCCGGAAACCCCGAAGCCCCATTTGTGGCGCTTTGGAGCCTGGTAGTTTGGAGATTTGAACTGCTGGTTCTTGAGGATAGCTGGGAAACCACCCAACCTCCACACCTGGAAAGCTGAAACACCCAGGCGACAAAAGTCAAAAGATGTGGATGGACCGCTTTGTCAACCACTCCTCGTAATCCCACCGAACTCATTCTCCGGTGACGGAAAAAATGTTTAACCCCCAAACTGAACCCAACAGCTCAGAAGCAGCCCCTCAGCCGACCCACCGACCCCCTGAACCCCACCCCCCCGTCCCTTGGGGCGCCTGTCATGGTCCCGTCGAAGAAGGCGATGTCCTGCTTCACCAGGCTCTCGAAGGTCACCTCAATCAGCCGAGAAATTGACCCAGGATCTAAGTAGAACCCGTCCCATTATTCGGGGGGTGAAAACGCCTCCAAAAGTGGTCCGAATCCAACCACTAAAAGGGGGATTCACCCCGATCAAAATCAACCAGGGGTTCTACTTAGATCCGGGGTTAACATTACTCCGTTGGGATGACCTGTTGAAGGGAAACCAAAAGGAAACCAGAAGCCCAAACAATGGGGGTCCCAAGTCAGACACACCCAAATGGGGCAGATTTTCTCTGATTTCCTTTCCGGGACTACGAAGGAGCTACCTGGCTAGATTTGGCCAGTGCCCTTTACCTGCTACTTTCTAGGGGTAACTTCCATTTCCATTCTGGGTTGAAGGTCTCGCAGGCTCATCGGTGATTGGCAAGGCCAATCGCAAATCACCGCTGGACTTTTTCCAGCCAAGTATCTAGGGGTTGATTCCCCATTATTTTCAGCCATCGTTCTTTTCAACAACCAGCCATTTCCCCAAGGTTTTTGGTGGTTGTCGAGAAAGAAGGATCCCTGGAAAAGCGTTTGAAGGATACTTACAAGGTCAGCCACCACGATCTACTCAATGCCATTGCACATGTGGTTATTTCTTGAAACTTAGGACCCTGCAGGTGGTTGCGTTCGCTTTGGTGTCCATTTGAGGAAAATCCATTCAAGGATATTGGATTCTGCTTGTGTTCCACAGCAGAATTGAGTTTATCAGAGAATGCCAAGACGTCCGCAAAGGACGCTCGCTCTAAACCAAACGGCTTTCTCCAAGCTCCGAACCAGGGAATCCCATGAAACGAGCCGCAAAATGCCACCCTTTCAGGGTGGGAAGCTCTTGATCGGTCAGGCAAGGTTTGATCAAACGCTCCCAAACCTACCCTAAGAGTGCAAAGTGGCCGACCGGATGTCGCAAGTGATCCTGGCGCGGACAAAACAAAACTGAGAAGGGCATGGCAGGGGTTTAGGGGGCCCATTACTTGGTTGACGTTGGAAGGGGAGCAACATTGAATTTTAGCAGTTAAGTGGGGATTTCAACCACTAAACCACAATAAGCAAAAATACGTAAAATGCTTCCCACCAACAGCCATGATTAAGTGTCTAACACCCATTAACCCCGCAGCCAACAAATTGTCCTTGCCTACAAACCCTCGCACTTGGGGTAGACACAGGCTGGCTCCTAAACGATCCGTATCCAGGGCCTCAAGAGGCGGTGTCCTTTCGACACCGGTAAATAGGCATGTCTTTCCTTCGGAGTTGGTACCTTTTTTGTGGAGTTGGACAGAACCAAGAGGAAAACCGCCATTTGGGGCGCCCCTAAAAAAAGACACCCCCAAATGATTTGGCCAGGGCAGTAATTCGATGGCGCTGCAAAGGCCTTGGTGCCGTAAAAAGAGAAAAAAGAAAAAAAACGCCTGAAAGGGAGGTTGCTCTTGGAGATTCCTCTAAGCATGATAACTCTTTGTGAAGGAAAAGTCCTATCTGGGTGAATTATAATTATGGAAACCTTTCTCAGGTCGCTCTACTTTTCCTCATCAAAAACGGCTTCACACACGCTCCTCCCGAGCACATGCCATCCGGCACCTGCTCGCTTCAGCTTCTTCGGCTCTTATCGCCTACTCAGCTCCAAAACACTGCTCAAGCCGCCTAATCCACCACCACATCTCCGTTGAGGCAGTACCGGCACGTGTCATACTCGTTGTACTCGATGCCTTCTCTGCCCGCACACATCATCACCGAGTGGTAGTGCCCGTTCCGCCCGATGTATAGCCCTCCAACTGTGCTTCTCATACACCTGGGACACGGCAACGACTCCCGCACCCTGGTGGCCAGTCGAAGCCCGTAGCAGTTCTCCCGCAGATGGTACTTCTCTCCCCGATCCGTGTAGAACACCGACGGCTCCACCGGGATCTCATCATCTTCTGGCTCCGGCTCTGGGTCCCTTCGCCTCGTCGCCGTCGGCCTTGCCGGGTGGGGCGCTCTCTTGCCCTTCCCTTTTCCTTTTGGTGCATATCTCCCTGGGTTCCATTTCGCCGTAGGAGCGACGAACCCTCGGGTCTCCTCTGTGCCTCCTCCGGTAGTAGACGAACTTCCCGATGCTGCCTCTGTACTTCCGGTAGTCGGCAATCTTCCTGATGCCTCTCCTCCTCCGGTAGTAGACGAACTTCCCGATGCCTCTCCACCCCCGGATCTCGTTGAGACTTCTTCTGGAGCATCAGCTTGCTCATCTCTCAACCTCCTGGGCGGGGAATCCACCTCCCGTTCTCTCCCAACGCGAAGAACCCTTACCACCGGTAGAGCTCGACTACAAGCGGCTCCACACTTTTCCACGATCTTCATTGCGATCACCGTGAACACCGCCACCATGATCCCGAACCGGATCAACGCCTCATCTTCCTCCTTGCCAGCCTTCTCATCTTCCATCGCCGAGGTGCCCTGCACTTGCAAGCAGCAAGCTATCACCGCCAGCGCCTGCTTATACTTCTCGATCTCTGCCATGTCGAGCTTCACCTCGTTGATGCGATTCACCTTCGTTTGTGGCTCAGCCATCATTCCCGCCTTCTTCTTCAGGTCCTTTAGCTTCGGACCTGCCAGGGCCTTCGTTCCCATGTCCGCGATGAGCTCACTTCCTGCTTTGTGGGCGGTCCTCCAATCTCCCTGTTGAATTCGCCAACGGACATGGAACGCCCTCAGACGCAAATGCCGCGTCCTCCAACTTCCAGCTTCTTCCGAGCACAGCGCGATCGCTGCTTGGTTGTCTCCCTGCAGTGACCTCATGTAGCCGTCCTCCTCTAGCTCGCTGATCATGGCATCCACGCTGTCGCCCACGATCATTCCTTCGATCATCTCCATCAACTCACACTCCGCCGTAGATAGCGCAGGAAAACTCTGCTTTGACGATCGCCACGCCACCACGGAGCCCATCCATTTCACCATCACACAGCCATGGCTAAGACCTCCTCCTGGCGCAAAGCTTGCATCCGTCGCCACCTCCAAACCAGCTCCCACTCTGCCATTCAAGTCAGTGCCGGTGTCCACGCTGAAGAGTAGACCTTCTTCTTTCGTGCCATTCAGGTACTTCAGCGCCTGCTCCCCCACTTGGACCACCCATCTTGGAGTTCTTGCCACCTGGGATGCCATCTTCGCCACGGTGTACGCGAGGTCCGCTCGGCACCTTGTGACCAGCCACATCACCTCTCCCACAATTCGTTGTGCGGCCTGCACCTCTTCAGCGGTGATGTCCTCCTCCGGTCCCGGGTCACTGACATCTCTGCTCATGGGGGTCGACGCCACTCCCTTGACTCCATTGCGGTCCAACACATCTTGGATGTAGTCCTCCTGGGTGACCAGGTACCCCTCGTCCAGGGCTTTGACGCTCACCCCACAGAACCTCACCGCTTTTTCCTGTTGAAACCACTCGGGCTCCGACGTCTCCCATTCTCTCCTTACTTGATCAAACACCGCCGTCACGGTCTCCTCCGGTCCCAGCACCATCATATCGTCCACGTACACGACAATGATGCCAACCGTCTCCTCCTTCTCTCCTTCTGTCTTTGCTTCTACCTTGACCAGCCACATATTTGGCTCGCTCATCATCTGCTCGAGTTTGACCGGTTGGCCACCGCTGTGAAACCTCCAACTCCTCATCTTCGTGTCCCGATAAGTGGCCCAACATCTCGGACTTTGGCGTAGTCCATACAAAGCCCGATTGACCACCCACAGCTCGCCTGGCCCGATCAAGCCCATCCGAACCAAAATGGCCGGAGGTCTCATTGCCACCTTTGTCGTCGCACCTCCACTCTCCGCCTCCAGGGGGGCGCTCAAGAAGGCGCACCGCACATCCACGGTTCCTCCTTTCCACCTTCTCCTCGCCGCCTCCTTGATGGCTACACGGAGACCGATCACGTCAGTCCCCGAGGCGTAGAGACACTGGCCTTCTTGATGACTCTCTCCGAAGTTGCCGCACACCACAATCCGGCACTTCTTCTTCCCTCCGGGCTTTACCGTGCACACCACCTTGCCTGGCAGCACTTGCACCTCTCTGTCTACCTCAAGTAGCTCATGAGCTTCCTTTGCGCTCAACCTCGTCACCGCTTCCTTCTCCTCCGCCAACGCCATCATCTCTTTCAGCATTGGCTCTTTCCACTCCTCCTTTCTTTCTTCTACCTCCTTCAGCGACACGATCCGGGTTTGTAGTACTTGCCGCTGCTCTCCTCCAAGTTCCTCATCTCCATCACTCCTCACCTTCTGATCCAGGGCTTCCAGCCCCTTCATCACCGCCCCAATCGCATCCGGCTCCTCCCTTTCTACATTCTGCATTTCCTCCTTGATGATCTGCTGGATGTTCCTCACGCGAACCAGCTCTCCTGCATCCTCTCTTCCTGGGGGTCTGCTTTTGCCCCAAATTCTCGTTCTCACCTCGTGGGGATCACCTTCTGGACCAGGTTTTCTCTCCTCTAGCTGCCATTGTCCTTGCACCGCAGGCGGCACGTCCCACTTCTTCAGCACGTAGGACGTCACCTGTACGTCGCCGTTCTCCTTCATGACCGCATGCCCGTGAGGAATGTTGCTGACCGGCGCCAGGTAGTATCCCTTCTGATGCGTCACCTCCATGTCATCCTTGACTTTCCATTTCCTCCTCTTGAAGAGCACTTCTTGCCCAAAAGCAGGGATCGTACCCTCCTCTCTGTTTCTTATCATCTTGTCCTTCGCCTGCACGTACCGGGCAGCGCACGGCCACCATTCGCAGCTCTTGCCCTTGCGGCAACCACCATCCGTCAGGAAGAACCGACAAGGGCGCTCCTTTTTCTCATAGCCTTTCCACGGCTTCGTTTCCCCTTCCGCATCTCCAAGCTTCTTCACCTTCGGCTCTGCGATCGCTTGCCCCTTCACGTTCTTCTTTTCCAACACGAAGGTCGTCTGCTCCACCTCCGCCAAGAGATGTTCCGCGAACTGTTTCACTACAGCTTGATCCGGGTTGGAGTCAATCTGCATCGTGGGCCTGGCCAGGGGAGATCCGGAAGAGCAACTCCCGATTGCCCTCCAACACCCTCTTCGACATCTTGTTGATCCCTTTGACCAACACCGTCGGATCAGGTATGGCCAGATCTACCTCTTCCGCCCTTCTCCGCCATCTTAACCACCTCCGCAGACTTTTCACCAGCTCACCTGCTGCGGTAGCCTCTGGGGGGTCTTCTAAATTCCTCAGCACCAGGGCCTTCTCCGCGTTCCCTCCCGGCTGGTACAGCACCTGCAACCGACACAATGTCCCGAAGGCCGTCAATGCCCCGCTCGCTTCTCCAACCTTCCCCACTTTTTTCTGATCCAGTGCCTCCGGCTTCTTGGTGGACGTCTCGGCTCTCTTGATGGGGTCCTCCGCCATGTACTTCCGGTACCACTTCCTGCTTTCTTCAACCATCAGCACCCACCAATCTCCCGAGGTGTCCGACAAGTCGGCCATCATGGGTCCCACCATCATCAACCAGTCACCCAAATCCAGCGGCCCACTTTCCGAGGCAGGCTCTGGTAGTAGCGGAAGATCGTGTACTCCTTGCCGTACCACCTCCGCGTTCTCGTTCTCCTTGTTGCCCTTGTCCAGGATGTGCTTCTGAAGCTCCTGCATCCCTTCCATCAACTTCAGCATGACGTCCAGCCTGGCGTTCTCTTTTCCGGAACCGCTCTCGCTGGCCGGTCTCATCTCCGAGGAATCCTCATCTTCATTCTTCACACTCTCTTCGTCGCCAACCGTTTCGTTCTGGTTGTCCCGCTTGTTGCTGGTCCCGTTGGGCACCTTCTGAACCTCGGGCTTGACCTGGCTCTCCGGCGTCCCGTAGCGCTCCTCTTTGACATAGTTCTTGATGCGGCCCAACTCCTCCATCAACAGTTTATTCTGCTTCTGGAGCTCCTTGATGGTCACCGCCATGTCCTCATTGGTCTCTTGCCCAGCGTCCAGAATCGGCAGGTGCTCCGGCCTCCTTTGGTCCATCGGGGTGCCATGAATCAGCGGGGCCTCCCTTTCCCATTCTTTGAGTCGGCTCATCTGCTCCGGGCTGAACAGCGGCCCCAGGGTCCTCGGGTTCTCCACCGGCCCGCCCACCCACATCGGTGAGCCTAGCGCACCTCCACCCGAGCTCGTCGCCAGTCCTCTTCTTGGCGTTCCCTCTTCGCGAGGGCGCCCAGTCGCTGACCTCCCAGAAGCCCCCGTGCCCTTGCCCGTGATCACCGCCACCTCCTGCCCGATCAGCTCCAGGCCCCCTTCATCCTCCAGGGGTTCCACGGAGCCCGGCGCAGAATGCGGCTCCTCCATGGCCTTTCTAAGAGGCCGCTGTTGGGCTCATAACCTATGGAAACCTTTCTCAGGTCGCTCTACTTTTCCTCATCAAAAACGGCTTCACACACGATAATATTTCACCCACCTGAAACTTGCGGTGGTTTGGGGGGGCTATTCCCCACATAAACCACCAATTGGGGTGAAGTCATGTGAGGTAATTCACCCAGTTCTATGCAATTCCAGGGCAGATTCTCTACTTGGGTGTTCGGCCAAGCTTGCGGGTTGTTGGCAACCCAGGTCATAATGGCTTATAAGACCCCTGTTCAGTGGAGCTAACCTTGTTCTTAGTGCTATTCCGCCACTTGGCGATCCCCACATACTAGCTTGGCGAATCGAGCCCCCAAGTACCCTCAGAAGAAACTTGTATCAGCTTCACCCCCACACCTGCCAACCTCATTCTGTCCACTTTGTAGTTGTCCTCACGGTTTCTTGGTGTGGCCTTGTCATGCAGGCCCCTCCCACCAGAATGGGTCTGTAAGAACCCTGTTGAGAACCCTTCTAAGAGAAGTTAGGCTTGGATACATTGCATTCCTTATGGAAAAATCCATGGCCCTGGTAAATGGGGAAAACTAATCTTTAAACCAGTGGCACCCATCTACAGCATTGCCCGAACCTGGCTTGGGGGTGGGCTTTTGGTCAATTGTATCAGCAGTCGGCACACCAATGGCTGTCTTTGACTGCCCCAAAACACGGATTTCGGGCATGCGGATTTCGGCATGCAACGCTATTAACGTTGGGGAATCATAGCATGACGTTGGGTTTCTTCTCGGTGGTGCAGATTGGGTGGTAGTGGTGATTTTGTTGATTCATCGCGCTCGCAAAAACATGTTGGCCCGATCCTTCGCTGAACGATCTCCACGCACACACTCTGGATGGAGCCAAACAGCATGGTGCCCACAGACACCAAGATGAAGGTCAGCCTTGATCGCCCGCTTTCAGGAACCCAAACATGTTGAACCCACAATAGAAAGAAAGCAACATTTAGCGAGCATTGTTCGCTCAGATTCGGGTTTGCTCAGTCTCTTGAACAGAGAAGCGCCCCAGGCACCACAACCATTCGGGCTTGCAGGGAGAGGAGCTTCCGTTTCTGGTTGGTACCCCTGTCGCCCAACAAGAAACCAAAGGGGGACCGAAATTTCGGTTCCGGAGGGTTCCGGTGCGGCTGGGGATACCACTTCTCATTTGTTGTGTTATGTGCTTATTTAATTTTGTTTATTAACATATTTTTTGGGGGGGAGAAACAAAAGGGGGGGGGGGTTAAAAGGGGGCGTGACTTTTGTTTTGGGGGGGGGCGGGGAGAAAAGGTATAAAAGGAGGACGTGTTTTGTTGTTTCGAAGGGGAGGAGAGAGCAAAAAGAGGGTCAAAAAGGGGGTTGTTACGAAAGTGTGTTGATCAAAGTCATAAGCTTGAACCAAATGACCCTCTTTGGGCCCCGAGGCACTGCGACTGATCCCAACCCCCGCAAATGATCGCTGGATCCGTCGTCGAAGGATTCAAGCCGCGCGGCAACAGTTTAAGAACCACTCAGCTTCCGCTTGACGCAGCAAAAAAGGCTCGACCTTGCGGGGCCAGGACTAAAAATGCGAAAAACCCCAAAAGTGGAAACTCACAGGTCAAAGGATGGCATTGGGAAAGTGAGACCAATACTCGTTTGGGGTGCTGCAACGTAGACCCGTGCATACCGTATATCCTTCCCACCCAATGGGAACCCTGGATTGAATCCATAGTGATTTGGATTCCCACCAGAAGGGGGACACCTATTGACCAACCGGGGCTTTGCCTGGCTGGTGCATGGAAACCTCCCGCTTGCTCGCAAACGTGATCCCTTGCAAAAAGATAATAAAGAGAACCACCTCCAAGCCTCAGACAGCGATCCATACCAAATCCCGGTAGGATCTGGACCCACCGCCTGACAGCGAATTCCCTTTCCTACTCCCAATCCTGGCTCGGGGGAAATCTCTCACCTACCAACCTGTCCAAGATTCTAGAGGTTGATGGGCGAAGAGACTCTCAGAGGTAACCACAAGGAAAACATGGGTCCAGCTTAAAGAAACAGGCGACCTCCAACCCCAACAGACCCTAGTGCTTAATGGACCGAAGAGCTGGAAGGTAACAACAACGAAGGGACGGGTGCAGCTTTAATCTCAGACCTCCCACACCAAACTGGCCACTCGGAACGGAGGCCGAGGGGCAGCAAGGGCTCAAACTCCTGCACGCACAGCGCACGAACCGCGCTCGCAGACAGACGCGCGCCAGGAGAAAAAAGAAGCGCGGCACCGGATGTGCTCCAAGAGTCCAAAGTGCGAATGGGTCAAGAGGTTCCAACCAATTCCCAACTGGGTTGCCCCTTTAGCAAACCAAGCCACAAATTCAAGGCAGCCGACTAGCTGCGCCTTTAAACAGATGGGTTCCACTAAGAATCAAACTGGAATCAGTGGAATCCATCCATTCACTGATACTAATCTGCTACCATGTGCAACCAACATGGGGATTTCTCCAAGAGGAAGCCCTCCAATCTGCTTCCCGTCCAGGGCGCAAAACGGCCGATTCATCAAAGATTACCTTTGGAAAGGGGTTCTGATGGAGGGTAACATGTCAACATATGCATCCGGACATCCGGAAATCCATCGAAAAACCATGGGGTGCAGAGTACTTGGGGTAGGAGAGTCCGCAGAGTTGGTCGTGCTCAGGGCCCCTGGGCCCCTGGGCTGGGCTAACTATTGCAAGGCCAACCACCAGCGGGCGGGGAATGGTAGGGTTTCTTGGCCTACCTGCCCATGCCGACTTTGTTCCCAACAAAACACCGCAACGCTCTATGCAGGAGGTTAGGAAGATTCGCCTCGGCCCCAAAGGGGCCAAGGGCGCTCAGATCTCTTCTCCAAAGAGAATCTTCGCTTTTCCCCTCCCCCAACCCCCTCCCCGACCAAAATTTTGCCGGGCCGCCCCCCCCAACCCATGTCGGCTGGACCCAAAATCCTGTCCGGCGGGCCTTGAAATTTTCGGGGTTCGTCGGCGTCCAGCTCCATGGGTCCATTTTTGTCGAAAATGTGCTGACAATCACGAAAAAATTGCTTTTTTGTCCTGAAAAGCATGACCTCCTGGTGGCCAGGCCTGCCTGACGTGTCTGAGACTAGGCTCAGCCCAACCAGCCCAGGCCCCGGCACATCTCTAGGCCGGCCCCAAGGTCAGGTTTGTCTGTCGTCTGAAACTGGCCTCAGGCCAACAACCAGTCTCACGTCACGTGTCTGAAACTGGTCTCAAGCTATGCCAGCCACCAAGCCCGTCTGACGTGGCCCAGCCCCTCAGTCCGGCTGCCCAAGCAACTCAGCCCAGGCTGGCCAGGCCTTGACCTCCTGCTCGCGTCTGGCCCCAAATCATCCAGCCCCGTCTCAAAGTATGCCAGCCTGAGACTACTAGCCTCAGGCCCAGTCCCTCAGCCCGCCTGCTGGCGTGTCTTACGTGTCTGCGACTGGCCTCAGGCCCAGCCCAGCCAACTCGCCACCCAGCCTCAGGCCCAAGTGTGTGTGTGAAACAGGCCTTGCCATCCAGCAACCCGCCCAAGCACAGCTCAGCCCAGCCCGCCCAGCGGTCCGGCTGCCCGGCAGCCAGCAACCCACCCATGGCTTCGCAGCCTCGTGGCTGAGACTAGCTTCAGGCCCAGCCCAAAGCCTGCCCAGCCCAGGCCCCAGCGCATCTCAGAGCATGCCAGCCACTACTGGCCCCAGTCTCAGGCTGGCATACCTTGAGACCAGTCTGCGCCGAAGAAGCCTGGTCAGCCTGGGCTGCTGAGTAGCTGGCATAGCTTGAGACCAGTCTCAGACACGTGAGACTGGTCGTTGGCCTGAGGCCAGTCTCAGACACGTTAGACAAACCTGACCTTGGCACACTGGGCTGAGCCTCAGGCCCAGTCCCTCAGCCCGTCTGCTGGCGTGTCTTACGTGTCTGCGACTGGCCTCAGGCCCAGCCTAGCCAGCAACTCGCTACCCAGCCTCAGCACATCCAGCGACCCGCCCAAGCACAGCTCAGCCCAGCCAGCCGAAGTTCCAGGCGCAACCAACACCATAATCCAGCTGCCCAGCACCACCCATGGCTTCGCAGCCTCGTGGCTGAGACTAGCTTCAGGCCCAGCCCAACCAGCAACCCGCCTAAGCCAACCCCACCCAAGCCCACCCGGTTTGAGACTCGCAGGCCTCAGCCTATCTAGCGCCGAGACTGGGCCTCACCAGCCTGGGCTCAACTAGCGTCTAGCCCAGCCCCAGTCCGCCTGCTGGCCAGGCCTGTCTGACGTGTCTAGCCCAGCCCCCTCAGTGCGGCTGCCCAGCCCGCAGCTCAACCAACAACCCACGCAAGCAAGGTCCAGCCAAGCTGCCCGAGACTAGCTTCAGGCCCAGCGCAGGCTTATCTGATGTTGTCTGAGACTAGCCTGTGGCCCAGCCCAACCAGGCGAGGCCGGCTTGTCTGACTTGTCTGGAGCCAGCTTCAGGTATTCGGACCTTCCCAACACTGGATTTCGGTGTTCCTGACCCTTCCCTCAAACTAGGCTGGGCCGAGGCGGGCAACGCGAAGCGTTTACAATTACACTAAACTGGATTGTCCTCAGATCCATTTCTAAAAATCCAAGCTTTAGTGGGTTAAATCGAAGCCCCACCTAAAAACCAAGAGAGGCGGCTGGGACCCGCCAAGTGAACATGTCATGAGTTGTTCCGTTGGGGTCGTATTCGCAGGACCCCCGATCTTCCCTCATGGCAGGGGGTAGTATCGGGTGGTATGTGGCTTCAAGTGGGCCAAACACACTTCCAGGCCCTCCAACGAGGGGTAGCGCCAAATTCGACCCAAGAAGCAAACGACGTCTTGGGATTGTATAGGAGGGATTGCATAGTCCTTAGTTTGAGGGCTTAGGCAACTTAGGGTCTCAGAGGTGCAGTCAGTTCCATGTCCCGTCCAAAAAATCGGGCCTGGACGCCTCTTGGAAGAACCATGCCGTCAGGGGCAGCCTATTTTGGAAACTTCCAAAGTGGGCAAGGAAGTATGCTCGACACGAGCGTACCGCTGAGGGGCCATGACTACGGCACCGAGAAAACACGAACTCACCAGTGGCGCATGCGCGGCAAATGTGAGCGAATGAAGCGGAGAGGAGGCTTGAGCGGAGCCAGGGTAAAGAACAGCACCTCGAAACTTGCGGTCCGATTTTTTTTGCCTCAACCTGGAAATGAACACCAACACCCACCAGACACCCCCAGGTTCCAACCAGAACCCAAAAAAAACAAAAGACCTCAAGAGAGCCCGCGTTTTTTCCCGCACGTGTTTTTTTTTGCAAAGAAGAGAAACGAAAACAGACAAAGAAAAAAGAAAAAGAGAAGAAAAAAAACAACACCTCCCGCGTGTCTTCCTTTTCGCGCGCGTTCACCAGAAGAAAAACCGGCACCAACGCCCGCGCAGAGTCCTTGCGGTCGAAGGCGATGAGGCTGTTGATGATCTGCCCCTGGAAGTTGGGCAGCAGCACGCGGCCCAGCTGGGTGATGCAGGTGCACGCCACAGCACACCTCGGCCAGGCGCAACCTTGCGCGCGCCCGGCGCAGATCGATCCTCTCGGTGGCCATGGGCTTCTCAAAGGCCAAAGCAAGTACTCCCAGTGAAAACGGGACCGATTCCCATTGAGTTTTGACCCACGGCCAGGTGGCTTGGAGTGGTTTGGTGGCTGGTGGTGTTGGAGAACCGAAAGAAGGCGGCTTTTCCAAAAAGAAGCGACAGGTGTAGCCCAAACAAAGATCACTCGCCAAAAAGGGCACCTCAAAAGGGAGAATCCCTTTTGGGGGGGGGGCAAGCGAAAGGAAACGGTCCGACGGTCCGTTTCCCAAAAAGCTCGGCCAACTCCCTCCCCCCCTCCCTCCGAGAACGCCGGCCGAGAAGGCGCGAATTAACGAACGAGAGAAGCCGAGGCGCTGCAGCACGCAGCGAAAGGGCCGGCACAGCTCCACGGCGCGCCAGAAGTACTGCCAACTGGTGAGCTCTGGGACCTCGGAACGTTCTAAAATAGGACACCTAAAAAATGAATTCATTCACCTACCAACCAAAATGGGATCCCAAAACGGTTTTGACCCACAGCGAGGTGGCTTGGAGTGGTTTTCGAGGTCTCCCCCGGTCGGCTTGCGGTCGGCTTGTGGTCGGCTTGCATGCGGCTCCAAAGGGAGCAGGAGGTGACCGGGGCGCGAAATCGAAATTTGGGCGGTGGCCTTTTTTCTGATCCTCGGCTCAAATTGCTGAAAGATGTGTGCTGTTTGCTTTTGCTTTCTAGGTTTTGGGGGGGCAAAATATGGAAATCCAACCACTCGACTCAACCGACTAACAACAACAACAGCTTGAAAAACCGAAGTTGAACCGGACGATTCGCTGGGCCACTGGGAACCGCCAAGAATTTAAAGGCGAAATGGGATATTTCGGCTCGCTCCGGAATCCACCCTTAGGGGCCTAAGGGTGCCCAACACAAGAGGGGCTTCCAACTGAAGCATCTCGAAACCCCTGCCGGCTTCCATGAAAACCAACCTGGGCCGGTGAGGCCTAAAAAACCCCTCTAGGGGGTTGGTGGGGGTGCAGGTCTAGGTCTTGGGAGGGACTCCAAGAACCAAAACGCCCTGAAAGCTTGAAAGTCGAATTGCTTTGGGACACAGGGGGGTCTTTTCGCCACCTTTTGTGAGAAAATTGGCGACCCGTCAAAAGGATTCCTTCACTACCAGGGGGTCGATCAATTTTCCACCAAAGGTGGCAAAAAAAGACACACACACCCCGTTGGGACATCTAATGTCGACCCGCCCTTCCAGGAAAATCCCCAGGGCATCCAACGAACATATGGGTCTGTCTTTGTTTTGGAGACTTTAAAATGGGAGGTGTTCCTTCTGGTTTCCCTCTGCAACCGCCCAAAAACTGGAAAAACCAACTCCAAAAAAGCACGAGCCAACCATTAAAAAAACAAAAAACAAAAACACGCGGGTGTCGGTGAGCCGGACCAAAAAAAAGTCCCAACCAAAAAAAGGCAGAAAGAAAAGAATTGAAGAAAGAAAAAAAAGAAAAAAAACGCGGCAAAGGGCCCTGGCTGCCGAGCCCGAGGGCTTGGTGCAGCTGGTGGCTCTTGGGCCCTCATGGGTCTGCGCAAAAAAGTTGGGTCAAGCGCCTACCAGGGAGAGGGTGGGGTAGGTCCCCCCAAAACCTTCTTGTTTTGGGGGTGTGGGGACAAAAAAAACATGCTCAAGCGGGGAGTGAACTGAAGTGCGGAGGATCGATGTGTTTTATCGCATCTGCTGCGCATTCTCGTAGGCCCTCGCACCTGAAAGCAACTCCAAGGCCAACGGGAAAAAGAAAGGGCGGGCGAGACCCGGTCGACCAGAACTCCCACTGGGCCCCGGGCATACTTTGGACCCTTGTCACCGCGGAGGATGCCCTCCTCACGAAGAGACGGTGCCTTTGGGAGGCCACGCAAAATGGGTAGCTGTCCTTTTGGCTTGCCTTTGAAACCACCCAGAAAAAAGACCCTCGGGAAAAAAAAAGGGAAAAAGAAGAAACAAAAACAGCACACACACACACACACACGCTTAAAAAACCAACAAAAAACGCTGATGTTTGTTCGGATTTTCAGAAGACGCCGGCAAATGCAAGTGTGGTTTCCAGGTTTACAGCCAGCGCATGGCAGGAAGCGACTCCGATGTGGATCTTTCTACCACGCCCTGGCCAGAACTCCGATCGGTAGCTCCCTGGCTCGCTACCTCAAGCAAATTTGGACACCCCCAGCTCCGCTCACTTGCTGAGTGCCCAAAAAAGTCCAAACTTTAGATTTACCACTAAAACGGTCCAAACCCAAAAAGTTTCTCAAGTTCATGAACTCAGGAACTGAGTCCAAGTCCCCACCACACGCGAGCGAGCCGTCCTGGCTGTTGCCGCTCTGCTGCTTTCGGTAGCACTGCAGGCAGACCCAAAAGTTCTGATTCGGCCCGCCGCCGCCAGGGCCGCCTGCGCGGGCGCGCGGCTTGATTTCTCTGCTTTCCAGTTGGCTTGGGTTGGTGACTGGGTGGTCCGACCCTCTTGCCAACAATCATATGGGTATTTCTCAAACTTGTGGACCAATTCCTCCGGTGGAAACCCATCCCCAAAGAAAAAAACAAAACAGGACTCCGAGTCCGAGTTTTACTGAGACCCACCCCATCTCACCACAGCTAGGGCCGCCTCGGCCCCCGCCGCCCTCGCACTCCTTGCCTGGGCGCAACCGGAAGGAGAGCGAACGCGAGCGCGAGCGGTCCAAGTCAAGTTGGGGGGGCCTTGACTCCAGGTCCTCACCTCCTGATTGGATTGTGCTTTTTTGGGTTTGTTTGTTTGTTGTTTTTGTTAATCAACTTTCTATTTGCCACTATGGTCCAGACCCAACAGTTTAAAGTCCAGCGACTCAGGAAGCGAGCTTTGTTTACCCGGAGGAAACCAAACCCACAGGAGGAAACAAAGCGAGGGAAAATCCCCCCATGTGTTGTTTGCTTTGTTCTTTTTTCCTTTTTTTCGCAGGGCGCCGTGAAACCCATTTCATTGCCCTCTCGCCTCTGGATTTTTGCTGGATTGCTTCCCCTGGTCACTATGGCGTGGTAGCTGGAATCACCAGACTCCAGCAAAACGATTTCAAACTGGCCGCATGCTCCTTCCGAAATGAGGGGACCCCGGATCCCTCTTGTCCAGTGGCACCAAAATCTACCTCTTTGCACAGCTCAAATGCACATACTGCAGACAAGATCCGCTTTCTCACCCCCCCCAAAGAAACCCAACAGAACAATGCGAATCGCGAATGGTTTCAGCCATGGTTTCTGAACCGTCCACCCCAAATGGACACACTAACCCAAACTCAGGGGCTACAAAACGAGTCAAAATCAAAGCCCCGGCCAGGGGTCCATACACTCGCTTCGATGGAGTCACAATCTAAACCTGCCCTAGAAAAGCGCTTCCAAAGAGGCAATATTTGCCTGCCCTACGTTTACTACGTGTTTTTTTCCCCGATTGCTTGGTGAATTGCCGAATCACATTCTTGTGAATGTGTCCGATTCCAGACCATACTCCTAGGAATCCACTACTGTTTGGTACCCCGCAAATGGGAACCACCCAACTGAGGCAAGGAGCGTAGAAGAAGAAAAACATGACAGAGAGTTTTCTAAAGGCGACGGTCCCGTACCCTACAATTACCCGGGTTTTAGAGTGTGCCTCATCTCAGATGCTCGATGGGTGTTGTTTTTCCTTGAAACGGGACTTGTGGCGCGACCCTTTGCTGTGAGGGTTGGCCAGTCCAATCCCTTCCTGTTCCATGATCCCTTGAAAACTGTGGATGGTTGAGAAATCCGCCAGTCTCGCATCCTGAAATGAAACCATTGCCGATTTTACGCGGCAACCGCATCATTCCAGGCGTTGTTGTTTCCTGAAAAGGGTGTCAAAGAAATTACATGGTCTGTGGGTGTGTATGTTTTTGAGGGTACCCCTTGTTTGGTGTTTTTAAAGGGACGCCCAAAGAAAAACCAGCACTGATTTTGGGGGGGGCCCAACCTTAAAAAAGACACACAGCCCAGTTTCTGTTTTTTTCCGACCAGACCGCATCAAGGTAAGGTGCACTTGAAGCCCTCTAAGCCGCCGGTTCTCGGACCAATGCGCTCCCGGCAGATCTTGCAGAAGGCGATCCTCGGCATCGCGAGCCGCGAGCGAGCCGATGCCGAGCGATCCGCGAGCGGATCGATCCGATCCGAGGTGGCAACAACCGGCCCCAGGGGCTCGAAACGGAAAAAAGTGGTCGTCACCCACAAAGGAGACTTGATTCGAGGGGAAACGAAGGGCATGGCGGAACAGGAAATACCCCCTCATCCCCCTCCAAATACTTGGAGACACTTGTTTTTTCAAGGTTTCAAAGTTGGAAACACTGGGAGTGATACTCTGGTGCTTGACAGAAATGGGAAACCGGGTGGGAAACCCCGGTTTCCCAGTTCAACGCCTCCAAACCAATCCATCACTTAGATACTTTTGAAGCGGCATTTCAACATGTCTGTGCAATTAGATGGAAGCTGATGGTGTGCCTTCCCTTTTAGCGGGAACGATTCATCTTTTGGAGGGGACACCCCCTCCCTCTTGCTAGGAGGGGTTTACTAATCCGGGGTCAACATTCAAGGTGTGCTTTTGACCATGGCACAAAGAGACCCCTCTTGACTCTCGGAGAAACTCACCCAGTTGTCCTTCAGATTGCAGCCGCAGAGCCACGAAAGCTGAGGCTCACCCTTCTAAGAAGGGCTCCCCTGAAAATGACGATAAGTACCTCGAAAAGTCCTGAACATATGGGGTTGATCAACACGTCCTTGGGAAAACCATTGGGGAAGCCCGCCAAAAAGATGATATGTCCCACTAAACAGGAAAAGCTACCCATTGTCATTGCGGGCCAGGAGTATTGATCAACCCGACCAAGCCAGACCAACCGAATTGAGCTCACAACAGCTGGAAAGAGGTGTCTCGAAATGGGGAAACCACATGTGCAATAGACACAAGCCCATTTTGCCGGCCCGAAACCCTAAACCCACCCTGATTCCAACCAAAACCCACCCTAAACCCCTAAACCTCTAAAACAGAGCCTTCACCCACCCTGAACCACAGGGCCCCCCCCCGAAAATCCTCCCCCCCCCACACCCCCCCACACCCCACCAGTTGCCCTACCCTTCCCAAGCCCAGGAGCTCCGCCACACGCTGGTAGTAGAGCCTGCGACCCGGCCGAGCCAACCGCGCCCGCCGCCGAACCGCGGGCGCTTGGATGCCAGTTTCCTTTTTTCCCCCGGGAGAACTGCGACACCTACTTCCCATCAAAAGACGGGAAACCGAGAAAAAAAAGAAAAGAAGAAGAAAAAAACGAAAAAAACAGGGGGGCCCACAGAAATCTGCAGGCAAAGTCCTCTTCCCCCAAGCGTTGAACACCCTGTCCTTTTTGAACGCCTCCTTCCTTTCCTCTTGTCTCGGAAAACGGAGAAAAACATGTTTGGAAGAAAAACGGGCCTGAGCCCTTGCCTCCTTTTGTTTGAACAAGAACAAAGGCCGGACATGTCTTCCCAAAAGCAACCCCTCCTGCTCGGTTCCCCGAAAAAAAACCGACAAGCGCACCCAGTCAAAAGGAAACTCTCCTCACATTTCCCGAAACTCGCACCTTTGATAAGCCAACAAGGTGTGCAAATGATTTGCCCAAACCTTTGTATCCCCAAAACAAAATGACACAGGCTTACTTCTTGCATGCAAATCACCACCCCCCCCTTCCCCCCCGAGCAAAACAAAGCTGGAACAAACTCCTCGGTTCGCAAGAACCCACGAAAAAAAACCCACCCCGCCCCTCAGACAGGCTGAGGCGGCTGGGCCTGTGCTCATGGAGGCCCTGCAGCAACACGCCCTCCTCCTCCGTGAGCCGCTCCACCAAGAGCTTCATCACCAAAAACTCCTCGCCCGACTCCCGCGACCAAAAATTGCGCGAATCCGCTTCTCATCGCAGCACGGGTGAACTGAAACCATATGGGAAGGAAGCCATGACGTTCGTTGGTATTTACGTTACGGGAACCATAAAATCATTCCGTTGGGTTGAGCCTGGTGGTGCGAGGCTCGCGAAAGTTTCGCGAAAGCATTCCGCAGCTCCGAAACGTTTGGAGCAGGTGGCCGGGGTGGCTCTTGCGGTGTCTGGATGTGTCAAACAAGGCATCCTTGAAAGTGGTTGGTGGACATCGAATCCCCCACCCGTTCCGGGCCTTTAAAAATCATGCCCATGGTGTTGTTCACGGCTGCGAAAGTTTTTTGCAGATTTGGTTGGCTTCTCAAAATAGGTTCTCTCTAGTCCTATTGTTCCCCAGGCCCAATTGTATGCTTGGTCCTTTTCATTTGGTCCCTTGCATTTCTTGGCAGATTTTTGTCCGACCGAGAGATGGAAATGTCCAAAACCCTCGGCACATCTCGGCACCTATGAAAGGAATCCTCATGGGAGGATTGGGACATGCGCGCGAGGCATCCTGGAGTTTGATCGCCGAATTTCAACCCAATATATGTTGGTGAATAGGTCAACCGGCCAGGAATCTTTGCTTCATGTGATCTTTAAACTTAAAAGTGGGCGGCTTCCTTTTGGCGTCCCTTTGAACGCCTCTCAAAAAAAAAGGACAGACCAAATGCCACCGACGTTCTTTGGAAGCTTACAAAAGTTTATCATAATGAACGCTCGACTGATTTTGAGATGTCATGAAGGAGCACCCTGCACGAACCCATGGCTGATGCGTTCGAGGAAGTTGCTTCTTTCACTACCCTCCCAACGGAAGTTGACAAAATGTCCGAGGACTAATGTCTGTTTGGGGAAGGCCCCTGTCCAGTTCTATGATTGAGGAAAGGGTAGTATCAGTATCATCTTCCCTCTTGGTGGTTTGGAGGTGAGGAAGGGGTTGCCCCATTTGCCCCCTAGAACCAGAGCGTCAAACCCGTCCCCACCAAATCCAAACCACAAACTTAGGGGGAAGCTGATAGCTTGGTTGACGTTGGGTTTGGGGAGCAAACATTTATTTTCTTAGCAGTGAAGTGGATTTGGAGTTCAACCACTAAACCACAACAAGCAAAAATACGTAAAATGCTTTCCAACAACAACCATGTGGCCCCCACAAAAAAGCACCCACACTTTCTACCTGGACCCTTAAACTACCCATGAGAAAGGGAACTCTCCCCAGGATGTTGAGGCAACCAGCAACTTTTAGGTTCGACATTTGAGGGTCCGGGTATTTACCACCTGCCGTTCCCCGGCCCCCCAGGGCGTGAAAAAAAATCACATCCCAGGCGCCGCGTTCATGCACGCCACCACCAGCGTGAAGCAGCACGCTTCCAGCGCCGTCTCGCCCTCGGTGGCCAGGACCTCCCGGGTCGCGTGCGTCCGATGCTTCCGATACTTCCATGCCCTAAGAGCTCGGAGTTACTTTTCAGGCGAAGGTGGAGCGATTCGCCGGTATTAAGATGTTCTACCCAGAGCCATGTGAAGAATTGTAAAAAGGCTTCGAAGGCCGCCATCTACGGCTGACGAACCTTCAACTCCCCCGGGGAGTTTGAGCACGTGGCAATTCGCCAGCTGGACCTGCGGGTCTCCAGCGTTGTTGACCTCTAGCTTTGACCATGGAATGCTTTTCTCTGAGAACTGGAAGCACTCGGACAAGCAGGCAGCAAGCAAAACGAAGGGCACAGCTCGGCTCGCAGCTGAGCAGCTGGGCTCATCATCAAGGCTTGGCAAATATTGGTTACGCCCTGGACTGATTCACTTCCCCACTGTAAATACCAACAAGCCTTGGTTTCAACCATGGTTTCAAAAGTAGTGCAGGACAGTAGGGGTCCTATGAAAGGCTCACGATTTTGAGCGGCTCAACGTCCACCCCTGGTTGGTTTGATCCGGGGAGGGGGGATTCATCTCTCTTGGAGGGAAAAAGCCCCCTTGTAACCGGGCGGGCTTGTGAATCCGGCGTCAACAGCATGATAACGTCAGACAGGTGACCTCTGGCCCTGCTCCAACGCAAGCGCATGTGCTCCCGTCCGGCAGAATATCCCAGCCAGAGCAAGACCATGAATGAGGTGAGTGGGGGTTTGCTCCCCTGTAAACTACTGGAACCCAAAACGGGGTCCCCCAACAGAAAGAGACTCCTCTACACATGGGTTGTTGTTTAGGTTCCATGTTGATCTGCAGGAGTCGCGGCCAATCCTGGTCACTATAGTACGGTTTCCCATGCAAAACTTGGCTTGCCATGTTGCCTGTCTACTGGCTCTTGGACCTTTCCAGCTCATGGAGACGAGTCAGGACTCCTGGAAGAGCCCTTGGTTATGTCAAACACATTCAAGCCCATGTTTGGACAAAGCTTCAGATTTGAACAGATTGCGCTCCAAGATCCCCCAACAGCAAACCACTCCTCCAACAAATCCCCCCCCCCCAACCCAAACAACCAGCAATCATAAATCACCAGCTCAATCAATCGAGAACCCAACCCCAGACATAGCTTTTGGGAAAACGAAACCGACCCGAGAAAGAAAAAAACAAACAAAGCGTCGGGACACGTTGCGAAAGCGAGCGTCGGTTTGATCGATCCATCGAGCCTGCACCCCGGTGTAGGTGGACTGCAGCGTCACCCCCAGGAAGCTCAGCCCCAGCACCTCAGACCGAGACCTTCGGACTTGGACCGGGACCGGGACCCGGGACTGGCGCGCAACGCGGCAACGCGGTTTCGGCGCGGCTTCCCTCAAAACAAACCCAAGAACGGTGCGAAAAATGCCGTGGAAACACGCGAAAAAAGAGGCGGGCTCTTGGTTTGCTGGGATCTTCAACTCTGGTGGCCGTGTCTCTTTTTTAAGGTTGGACTCCTAAAAGAAGAGTTGTTCCCGACAAAGGTCGGTGTTTGTCAAAGAGATCCACAGAATCCCTTGACATCTTTTGGGGGTCCCTCGGCGGTTTCTCCAGTCAACGGACAACCATGGACGGCTCGCCGTATCCCTCGCTGGCGCTCGGACTTGAAGCCGAGAGCAAAAAAGGGGAGGGAAGAAAAAAAGAGGGCCACTGGGCGGGGTGCCAATTTTTTTCTTTGGACCAACAGGCCTTTTGGTTGTCCTTCCAGTCTGCCTCAAGACACAAACCGGGCACCCAAGCTTAGAGGATCCCCACTGCGTAACACTACGCTTGTCTCCATGGGCTCGGCCTTTCGCGGTGCTCCCTTGAGTTTCCCGGGTAAAAACCGCCCCTCAAAAACCGGGGTACCCGCAAACCAAACACACTGAAGCGGTCGAAATTCCAAGGGTAACCGTCCCTATCGACCCCGTTTTGTGCCACTTTCGTGACCGGAAGCGACACATCCGATCCGAGCGCCGCGCGAGGTTCCTCTTCCAACTATTCGCCTGGCGCGTCATGCTGTCGCGGCACGCACGGCTCTTGCCCCGGCGCGTTGGGAACCGGCAAATTAGTTGCAGGGCTGCATGCCAACCAAAATTTATCGACGTGTTGAAGGAAGCCAAGAGTGGCCCCAAACCAAACCTCTGCAAAAAAAATAAGCTCAGGCGATATCCCCAACAGCACCCTCCCAGAACCCTCGCAGAACCGTCCCAGAACCCTGGTGGGGAACCCTCGTGGAACCTTACCTCAGGGCCACCCAGGACTACCCCGAGCCTATCTGGGCTGAGACCCCAAAGCTTTCAGCCGTTGGGGGAAAAAAAAAGCCCCCCTTCCCCCCCCAAAAAAAAGAAACAGAAAAAACAAAGCTTCGCCTCGCGGGCGGTCACGGCCGCACGCTGCCTGTCCAGCTCGGACTCCGGCTGCGCGCCTCGCCAAGTCAGCAGGTGATTCCTCTCGCCCCAGTGGATCCCAGGCGTTTCGCCACGATTGTAGATCACCAGCCGGCATTCACATGGTCTACCCAGAATGTACAGAACTTGAAAAGCGGCGAAGGCTCCCATTCATGGTTGGGACCATCCCTTGCCAACGTTCATCTTTCCGGGTGTTTCAATATGGGGATCCACCGTATAGATTTCGACTGCAATGCCCCAGCAATGCCCCCCTGACTCCTCCTCCCCCTTGAACCAACGCCTTAGGCTTTCCAAAGGTGTGGTTCCAGGGAGCAACTTTGGCAACTGAGGCAACTGCTCAGCAGCAGTAACGTAGGCGTCGGCCATTTTCCTTTTGGCCTTCAACCTGCCTGGCAACCAAGTCCTGGCATGAACATGCTCCAATCATGTAGAGAATGCAAAAGTCGGCGAAGGCACCCACCTATGCTTGGGACTCTCCCTTGCTAACGTTCATCTTACCGGGTTTTGAATGTGGCTCAACTGGCCCAGACGAAACTGGGCAGCTTCCACTTTATTTTATATATTTTTTAAAAGCGCGCGCCGACATATGCTCAACAGTTCAACAGCAGGGAATGGCTTGCCAGGTCCCATCCATGTCGGGTCTCCGCATCGCGCCTGTGTGAGTGCCGTTCTCCTCACGATCGCTCGACGCCGAAGCGCCCGAACAACACAAAAGAAGTAAGGCGTCCAGAAACTAATAGAATCCTAGAACAGCCTGTCCGAAAGAGCTTCCCCGCAACATGTTTGGCCCCACTTGGTCTTCTTTGGCCTTATTCTGCCTTAAGCATCATCATCATCATCATCTACAAGAAGCAGGGGACCCGTTCAAATCCAAATGCAAACCACCAATCCAAACCACCAATCAAGGGATACCTGACTTTAGCCGTTTGGAACAAGCAACCTTGGAGCTGGGAACATGGTGGAAAAGCCCCCTTTTGGCTGGTGTCGCAAAGAGAAACCTGATGACCCAAGGGAAGCAGCTATTGGATGTTAACTCGCCATGTCAAACTGATCCCAGCCCAGAAAACATCACCCCACCCCCCCACCCACCCACCCCCCACCCAAAACCAAACTTATGGAAAAGAACAAAAGCAACCTCCCCCAAAAAAGTTGTTCGACGAAACACGCACCAACCCGCTTTTGGCTTCTGGAGAAGAGAAAAGCACAACCTCCCAAAAACAAAGATGTTCAGCAAAATACACGCTCCAAGTCGGTTGTGGCCAAAAAAAAAAAGACAAAAAAAAAGACTTCCAAAAAAGCAGAAGAGGAAAAACGGGGTTTAAGAAAGAAACATGAAATACAAGAGGAGAAAAAACAGGGAGGGGGAGAACAAAAAATGACCTCCCGCCAAACACTGCCAAACCAGAAAGCGATGGGTCGATCTTTTTCCTGCGGGGAAGCTCCGAGTCGCCCGTCCTGGTGCCCATCTTCCGCGCCGCAGCGCCACACGCCTGGGACCGAGGTGGAGGCCTCCCTGAAAAAGCTGGGCCCACTGGGCCCATGTCCGAGACGAACCTGGAACCTGAAGCAAACAACCATGTCCTCTGAATGGACCTTGATGGAAAATGGCAGTTTGCTCAGGTAGGAAAAAGTCATTCTATTCGAGGGATAGAGGCGTTTTCCCTGAGGTAGGAGGCGGTTTTCAAACCTTCTTCCTCGGGGTGGTGTGTCTTTGCAAGGGGTGGTTTCTCCATAGGGTGTTTCTCTTCTTTTTTTAGTTCATGAGAACATTATTCAAAAACACTTCCTCGATAGAAAACTTTGGAGATCATTCTTTCTAGAACACCTCCGACACATTGTTTAGGAAGAAAAAAAGGAGGGAAAAACGGCTGGGTTTTGGGGAAAAAACAACGGTTGAACAGCATCTTTTCTCAACCCCTAGAATGATGGCGTGTCTTTTTGAGGGTACCTCTTGGGGGTGTTGTCAAAGGAAGTCAGGAGGAACACAACCATGCTGAGGCTGCCCTGTTTTGAGACACACCCAGTTGCCCATCTCAAAGTCGCCCAGGACTTGTGTCATCCGAAGTGGCTGATGCCACTCACAGGGTTTCATCCAGCCAGTGCGAAGTGGATTTTGTCCATCCAGAGGTTCAAGGGAAACAGCCCCGGTGACTTTGAGGGGTTGTAGGATACGACTTTTTAAACAAAGTGATGAAATTCTTGAAGTGAACCATGTGTTTTTCTGTTTCGTCCAAGTGCTCCCATGCGGGACTCATTGGTGAACATGTCCTCAAGATTTATACCCGCTAACCATGTTGGAGGCTGTTAAGTACAGCCTTGCCAAGCCCTGATTGGAGGGAGGGCTTTCAATCCTACAACAGGCGAAAGAGCTGCCCAAAATCCAGCATTTGAATTCAGCTGGCATAAATACAATATGTCGTCTCTGCGAGAGCAAATCTCCAGCCGTTCCACAAAATTCCAGACGCCCTTTTGGATAGTTGTTCAAAGGGTGAGCAGCAAAAGGCTGAAGAGCTATGCGTTCCCGAAGGGCTCCATCATTTGAGGGGGGGGGGACCCTATTTTGAGACCCACATGTGTTGGCGCCCGCAAAAAGCGCGCCAAGCACTCAACGACATCGCATCGGTCGCATCGGGCGAATCGCTGGAAGCCGAATCGCCGGCCTAGGCCGAGCTTTGTCGCCAGGGCGAAGCAAAAGATGAGGAGGGCGCCCCGCAGGAGGCTGATGATCAGCACCTCACCGCCAGCGTCCAGCCACAACCCGGGGATTGATGAAGGGGCAATGTAAAGCTAGAACCTGACATGAGCCAGCCACGTCCTCAAAACCCGGGAGGATAAACCTTCCACTTGTCATAAATGGGTGCCTTCGCTGCCTTGTTAATCCTTGAAGCATGGCTCTGGCTAGACTCTTCTAATACCGGGCTTCAGTTATGACGCGCCGCCGGCCGATTGGCCGATTTTCCGCCCGATGCGATGTGGCGGATGTTGTTGTTTTTTTTTCCATATCCATGTCCCTGTCCGTGTCGGGTCTGCCCGGGGAGAAGGTGTTGGTTTTCTTCAAAGAAAATTGAGGAAGCCCAAGAGAAAAACAAGGTGAGCTGAGTCAATTTGGGTGTCGCCAACAAAGGCGCTAAAAGTGGGAATGCCCTGTTGAAGCCACAAGGAGATGACAACTACCTCCCCGGTCTTTGCTTTGGGATTGAACCAATGCTGCAGGCCCTAAGATAGCCTTTTGTGACATTTGTGGTTGAGCAACTAGAATGTAAGAAGTAGAATCATGCGCCTTCCATGCCAAATCCAAAGATCGCCGAAAAGCCGCCGAAAAGCCGCATCTTCAAAGCTAAATACACTTCTCCTGTAATAGTTATTGCTTTTCAATCTCCACAGAGCGCGTGCCTGAAATTGGTTCCGCTGCCAGCTGCGCCGTGCACTTTGGAGCCGTTGAATGAAGCGAACGCCATGGAGCTTTTAAAGGGAAAGCAAGAAGAAAACGTTGAAAAAACCAGGGGCCTTTTGTCTCAAATATGCATGACTTTTCAGTGAGAGACCCTTGGCAGACATCAGTAACATTGAAATACATGTCCACCAACCATGTTTATGGCCTTCCCGTTAAGAAAATGCAGCCAAACCTAGTCAATTAGAGGAGTGCTTCCAAAAAGTGAAGGATCTCCTGTCAATCAACGGGCTTAATTATGGGTCAACCTTACCACAACAGCATGTTTCCCATTGCTCAAGGAAAACTCTTGGTGACCTACCTTGGCTCCCATTCTTTCGGGCAACATCCACAAACATATTTTCCTATGTTCCCCCTTGAAACACCACCGCACTCAAAGCATAAATGCTACTGGATCCCCTTACAAACCTTGCGCGCTCCAATGAGAACACACTACAAGTTGAGGTTCCCCCAAAAACAAACTCGCCAAAGACGAGTGGTCCAAGAGGAAAAAAAGGCACGAGGCTCTCAAAGACTCTCCCCCCTCGACCCCCCCCCCAGGCCACTTCGCCCCTTGCCCCTTCGCCCCCCTCGCGTCCGGCCGCGGCGCGTCGAGGCGCCCGAAGCTCGCCAGCGCCAGCGCCGCGCCGAGGTCCGCCAGGCACAAAGTCCCCAGGCCCAGCGACAGCCGCCACTGGCGGAGGCACAGGCGGCACACGCCTCGACCGAGCGACCCGACGAAGCGACCGGCGGAGCGAGGAAGCCAGCGGCCCGGAAAAGCCGAGGGGCGCGCAGGGAACTGGGGTGGGCAAGACGTGTTGTTTGTTTCTTTTTCTTCGGGTCTGCGGGTTTGTGGAGAGCGGATAGTGGGTTGAAGATGGAAACTACCACGAAATGGACTAAAAGCAAATAGAAGCCTAGGATGGCTGGGGAGGGAGGGAGGGAGCCCAAACTCGCTAAGACCTGAAGGCCTTGTTCCCTCCCCCGAGGCCCCAAAGGAAGAGAAATGGCAAAGCGAGTGAAGGAAACTGCCCAAATCAACATGGACATGGAGAAGCATTTCAACTGTATTTGCCTTGGACATGGATTGCGCATGGTGTTGGTTTAATGGTACCATGTCCGCTGGGGGATCTGTTTGGATCCCTGTCCCTGCAAGCTTCAGGTCAAAGAGGATGTCAGGGGCACATAAAGATGGTTCAAACCCACCAATGGGTGGTTGAGGTGTTTTTTGTTAACCAGCCCCGGCTTTTTTACTAGCCCCGGCTCAGCACAAGGCCGGCCCCATGTGGCTCTGAAGAGGTCTGGGATCCCTTGCTTGGCTCTCAGGTTGAGTTGGCCGAGTCGGTGGGCCGTATCCCCAGCATCCCAGCATCCCAGCATCACCGTCCTCGCTCAGCCTAGGGCTGCCAATTGGCTGGTTGATTGTTGGGCTTGCGGAGGTCTTACATAATGAGAGCCGATCTTGGGTTTGTTTGGGGTTCATTTAGGCTTTGAAAAGGGCTGATATCCAGGATGCTGCTGGGAGGGTTTAAGGTTGACTTTGAGTCGGTTTACGAGCTGTGCGGCCCGGTTTTCGCACTAGCCTTTGGGCTGCTTCAGGGCGTGGTTACGCAACGCCCCACAACCAATCCCAAAGAAGCCCAAAAACTGCATAACCACGCCCTGAAGCAGCCCAAAGGCCAGTGCAAAAACCGGGCCGCACACCTCGTGCAAATCAGATCCAAGCCAACGCAAACCGACTCAAGTCAACCTTAAGCAGCATCCTGGATATCAGCCCTTTTCAAAGCCTAAATGAACCCCAAACAAACCCAAGACCCGCCCTCGTTGTGCAAGACCTCAGCCCAACAATCACCCGAAACCAGCCGGCGCGGCCCTGGGCTGGCCTCAGCCCGTGACGCTGGGGATGCTGGGGATGGATGCGGCCGCCCAGGCGACCAACCAACCAACCAACCAACCAACCAACCAACCAACCAACCAACCACCAGTCCCCTGGCCGGGGCTGAGCCCAGAGCCGGGGCTAGTTAAAAAATAACAAAAACACCGGTTCCCAATGGGCGTTCCACATCAAAACTCACAGCCAAATCTCTTCAAACACTTCTAGAATTCGCAGAAACGGCTCATCCAAAAGCCGGAAGAGACCTTTTGAGCTCCCCATGTGAAGCCAGCGCCGGCCGGGCGCCTTTGTCCTCTTCGCCATCAAGCAATCGCGCGCTCCTGGCGATCACATCACATCACATCACATCACAAGGAAGATCGTTTTCCAGGACCCCCTGTCAGGTTCCATGTTAATTGTTGGGAGGGTACTTTGGGTCAATCATAAAGGACGTGTTCTCGGTTCTCTGTTTCGGATGCGACAGGCGTGGATTATGCTTCTTCAGTCCCTCTCTCAGCATGTTTGAGTTCTCGGGCCGGTGAAAACTCAATCAGCTGCGCATCTTGGCATTCAGCGGCCTCCGTTAAAACAAACACACCCTTCAACACTTGAGCCATCTCCAAAAACTACACGGTCAAAAACTGGAATATCTCCAAGCCCTTCCTTTTAAAGGGCCGCCCTCGTTGTTCGCCGGCTTCTTCCACCCCAAGACATGTCCCTGCGGACGATGTTTGGGAGAAACGTCTCACTCCGCTTCTGAGACCTCTCCCGAAGCACCCCTCCTCGCGCCCTCCTCCGCAACGCTTTGCAGCATCGGCGGGGCGGGGGATTCTTACGGAACCCTTGGCTAGCTCCTCGAGAGAGGTTAGAATAAGGGGACCTCCCAACCAAAAAGGAAGCGGTAAAAGTTGGCACTACTGGGGGACCTAGTTGGCATGCTAGAAAGGAAACTGTGTTTGTTGCAGCCCCCTGGAAGAACTGAACAAAACCTTTAAAAAAAGAACAAACTTGCCAAGAGCTGGGAAGGAAATCTACAGAACTGAGGAGCATCCGGTGCTCGCCCATTCAGAAAAACCGCGAGGGCTTGTCTTTGAACAAAACTCGTCGCCGCCGATCACTGCTTCAAGGCGATGTGATACGAAAGGACGGGGCAATCTCCAAAGGACCCACATAAACATTCACGCATTCCAGTCGACAAAAGGTATGAGTTGTAAGAGGGAAATTTCCCCCACCAACCAAAAGAAGAAGAATTCCCAAGAGATCCCTTCCCGGGTTTGAGTGGGACCAAGCCGAAGCACAACCTACCTGACCCGGCGGAGTAACCTGCCACTATGCCACGGGCAGCAAAGTCAACAGGGATCCGGATGCATTATACACCTGAGCATTGCAACTTGTAAATGGTGGTGTCCCTTTATTTGGTGCTGAAAAAGCAACATGTAGTTCAAATGGTTGCAAAATGGAGATCTTTTAAGGAGCCCTGCTATGTTTGCTTCCTTTCGGTTGCCTCATGGCATTGGGCCAAAGCTGCGGATCGAGTTGCGTCGGCCCGCGCGCGCATTTTCAGGGTATGATGTCAACCCTCTGAACCAGGTGGTATTTGCCTAGAAAACCAGGTTCTCCAGCAAACATAGCCTGAAGCAACGTGGGTATTTGGAGTGGGTAAAAGAAACATATTCAAAGTAGTAGCTTTTTCAGTGGTTGTATATCAACCACATGTCCCCTAAGTTTGGCTCGTGGGGTGAGAACGATAGACTCAACCGCGGTGCCTGGCCACATTTTCGCCCAACCATGGCTTTGGTGTTCCTTTGGTCTTCCTGAAAAACTCACCAACCTTTTTGGGCCCCCCGAAAAAGGTAAACCAAGAAGAAAAAAACATCCCGAATGAGGAGAACAGATCCCCTGGGCAATGGGAGGCCTCCTCAACTTCCAATCCAGTCCTCCAGTTTCCAAAGAGAAAAAGCTGCGAAGGGCGGCCACAAATTTTGAACAAACTATTGCATGATATTTAAAAGGGAACATCTGTAAATGGAATCAACCACTATGGGTCCCCGTATATGGGTCCTATCTAGGACACGCCCACATGGGGATAGTCCGCTCGAAATCTTCGCTCCTCGAATTCAGATGCCTCTTCCCGCCCAAGACTTGTCGCAACGAGCAGCAGAGTCTCCTTTGTCCCATCAATTTTGCGTTCTGCCAACATTACAAAGTGTCATAAACATGGGAGTTTGAGCCGAGTGAAACTTGCACCAGGTGAACTGGACAAAGTGTCATCCAACTAAACCCGGAGTGGAACCCCAACCACATTGGCCAAACGCTTTTGGTGTTGGGATCCCACTCAAATGAAACTGAAGAATCATTACCTTCTTGGAGGACTGCGGAAAATAACCCTTCCCGTGACACCAAAGGGGGAGTGATAATATCTATCCACGACTACTTGATCGCTTACAAACAGGGGCCATAAAACAGAGTTCCCCAAAATGGTGGGTTCCGAAAAATGGGTAACTTTCGGACGCTACTCGCACTATCCTCTCGGAACATGTGATGCTACTCGCATGTGATGTCCATTGAAAACCTCTTTGTTGGAATCTATGTGAAACGGGTCCCCTGACGCCTCAGTCCAAACAAGCATGCTCCCCGGCCTGCATCGAGACCACACTCCGCCTGCGCGGTCACGCGGGTGGGTGCCGGCCGCTGATTTACATATATATATATATATATATATGGTACCCCCTCCCTTTTGAAATTCTAGATTTGCCATCCCCAAAAGGCAGTAAAACCAGGGTCCATGGGGGTGCATATATCTTGCAACCCCAAAAGCCAGGTATCACCTTCTAATCGCTCTTCCGGGGCTTGGGGTGCTCGTTTCACGAGCGCCAAACAGCGGTTGCGATCCCATTCGCCTGCCCGCGGCAGGCAGCGCGTCCGGCGCGCTTCGTGCGCTTCGTGCGCGCTTTCGCGCTTTCGCTGACCGCGTGTTCGTTGGATCGGGAAGCCGAAGCCTCGACGATCGTGTGGGTGCAAAATAGGGTGACCCCAACTCGGGTTGCAATTGGAGAATGGAAACATGGTCCAAACCTTGGTAGTCTAATTTTGACCCACACCCATATGCTGATGTTCATCGCCCCGACTGCCGACCCCCATGATTCGCTTCTGAGACTGCCACATCGAGATGCAAACGGCTAGGCGAGTGAAAGTAAGGTGAACGAAGAAGTTGCAACCATCAGCCAAATTCAAACTGCGATTCCTGCAATCTCATGATTGCCAGGGCAATTCCAGTTTGAAACACGTGAAAGCAACTTGAAAGCTTCACCATCGAGCAAGGCAAGGGCAAAGCTTACAGCGAAATCGTCCAACTGGCATCATCCTTTCGCCTGCAACTGTCGAATCCCTACAGAACCCCATCTTCGATGCGGGTCGTCTGACATTGGAGGGTTGTTCAAGCGTGAAGGGTCCCAATTTGAGGACCGTGCGCGCTGCCTATGAGGTTCCCTCAAGAGGGTCATTTGACGGGGCTGAATGTGAAAAAAATAACAATATGCCAAGTAGTGATAGATTCCCTTCAAAATCACAGGGAAACTAAACAAGATTCTTAGGCAAATGGATGAAAGGATGTAAAAGAACAGCCCCTAGCCCTACTCTAAAACAACCCTCCTTCATCGACACAAAGCCGATGTGCATCCCTGTCTACGGTGAAACCTGCGCCTGAATTATTTCTCCGCTTGCGTCATCTTTCAGTGACCGCCCAGCTGCGACATGACCTCGGGGCCGACTTTCGAAAGCAAAAGAAAAAACAAGATCAGGAGAAGGCCTTGCTCAGGAGAACAACGGCACATGGTTGATCAAAACGTCCGTGATGCATGGGGTGATGGGGAAACCACCAAACATGATGTGACTGACCTGGGAAAAGTTGCCCATAGTCATTTCGGGGCCGCACGGAAAATTGATCAACCCCCACATGTTTGCGAAGACACACTTCCCATTTGGCCATTTGGGCCAGGGAAATGATCAAGATATCCGAGAAGCTTTGCGGTGGCAGTGTTTATCTCAAGCCTTAGCCAGTTTGTTTTCAGCTTGGCCTCATTCTTTCCGCGGCGCCCAGACTCGGTGCTGAGAGCTCTCAGCAGAGTTAGGCCCTCGGAACCCGAACACATGTCTGGGCTGTCCGTTTTCAGATCCCCTGAAAGACGACAACTTTTAGTGGGTTAGTTAAACATGGAAACTGCCACTAAACCAACGAAAAACAACGAACAACCAAGGAGCGTGGTTGCCCACCAAGATGTCCTCCTTGGAAAATTCCGCCCAAAGGAAACTAAGAGATCCGCGCCTCCCCACTGCCTTCCAGCCATGCCTCCCTGATCAACCACAAAGTTGGCTGGAGGCTCGGTGACTTCCGCACCGTTCCACCCTAAATTCGAGAAATTGGGCTGAGGGCTGCGCCCTTTTTTGAGGGTACCTTGTGGCAGGTAGCCTTTCAAACGGAAAGACAAGTCTCAAAATCTTGGGGTCCCAGTCCAATGCCCTTGCCACATGGGGGCTGATTCCGTTGGATCGACCCTGGGCTTTTCCGTGTGGTGAAGTCGATCAACTCTTTTGTTTGGTGGTTGCCCTGGTCATCGCATGACCTCTTGACTTGCTGGTGCGATAGGCAGGGAATGAGGGAATGACCCCTATAAACCCTCCGACCGGTGGATTCCTTTAAGGGAAACCCCTTCCGGTTCATTCCCTCATTCCCTGCCTATCGCACCAGCAAGTTTTCCGCTAGCCAGTAAGGTATAGCTTTTTGCAAGTCCCAGTGTAACCAAGTCTTGGGTTCAGTTCGTTTCGAATTTGGTCCGTTGTGATCCCGTGGTCAATCTTCCGGTTCGCCCCCAGAATGACCCCTGGGCAGCTTGTCTCCATGTGCTGGAAGTCGACCCTCTTTTTTTGGGGTGGTTTCCCTGCTGGTTCATCCCACAAGCCTTTTGATCCACCCACATCGAAGATCGAAGTCACGGACACCATGTCTTGGGGCCAGAGCCCGGGGCTCACCACGCGGGACTCGTTCTGCAG